CATGTTCCAGCCACACAAAGAGAATATTCCATGCCTGTCATCGTGGAAAGAGGAGTCAGAAGACTCAGTTAGCATCAGAGCATCCAAAGACGATAGTTTCGTCTTTGAGGAGAATCTGCAAATATTGCCTCACTCACCTACAAKGCGATGGCAGGTATCATGGTTAATATATCTACTTGTTGCTACAGCTGGGATTATCTCGATATTTACTGCCATCTATATTTCAAAGGAGAAGAGTCACACATGTGATGGTCTTGGTGAAGTCTTGGACACCGAGCTACGTATGTCATGAACTCTGCAACTCAGCGTTTATAGTTTATTTATTTTCTTTTTTGCAAACACTTATCTTTGTTTTAGGGTCGGTACAACCTGCGATTGAAGTTCAAAAAATACGTTTCGGCGGCACTCTGGGATTTACGGAAAATAGCACACTCATCCAGATATTTTGGGACCCCAACGCTCCAAGGTACACTGGGGACCCAAGCGATGAGCTGGATGCCCGCTGGCACAGCTTGTACCAGGGTAAGTCCATCGTCTAACCACCACGGCCTGTCCAAAAGCTGACCTAAGGAAGCCGACGGTGTGGATCTCCGCGGTATGGAAGCCGACACAATACGAGGAAAGACCTTGGAGAAACCCGGCGGCTGGTCGATCGTTAGTTTAGATGTTTTCCATCAACTGCATTGCCTTGTATGACCGCATCTTCTGTCCCCTTCCGTAACTGAGGCAATATTCTGACCCAAGACCTTGTTTTAGGACATGCTCCGGCAAGCGTTGCGTCCTGACTACTACMCCCGACACGATCCAGAACCTGCCTATACAACACACATACGTAAGTCCACGCACAGATGAGAAGAAGATCCAGCTCCAGCTAACAACCTGCCTCAGATCACTGTCTTGATCATATCCGACAAGCAGTGATGTGCCACGTAGATGTGACGCCACTCCCCGTTCTCTGGGCTGAGAAGGAGGATCGTCCTCTGAATGATTTTCAAGTGGAACACACTTGTCGGAACTTTTGGAAGGTGAGAGATTGGGCCTTGGAGCGTGATGCCCATAAACACAAGTACAAATATAATCATCCTCATTAGGTCTTCCGGTTGGTTCTAGTATGTACAGTGGTCAGCTGCCTGGCACATATACGAAGAATATATTTTGATGTTTTAGAATACCAATATAATATCATAAATTTATAGATTTATTGTGGCACTGTGAGAACCCATTCTTATGATTCGCCCAATCGCTACAAGGAATTCCGGGAGTGCTTTATTATACGTGTTTAATGACCCGGCAATAGCTTTGACAATCCAGATTCCTTGTCTTTACCTTTGTACAGAGGTTCCAACATGCTACGGACATACGCCGTACAAAGGCACTACGTAGGCATACATACGGTCTAGGTTCGCCCACCGATTTGGATGCTCTGATGCTAACTGAGTCTTCTGACTCCTCTTTCCACGATGACAGGCATGGAATATTCTCTTTGTGTGGCTGGAACATGAT